TAATGGAATTATATACAAATTAAAAATTGCAAACCAAAGTCTGGAAACAATTCTAAATTGTTTTCACTTTCAACTCTTTGTTTCATATATTCTCCCTTCCTTCCCCTCACCATTCTTGGTTCACCCTTCTTCACGAATCGATAGATAGATCCAAGGACCCATGTATGTTTTATTGAGATATAAAATTGGAGTGAAAAATATTGAGTACAAAACACATGATCTCATTTCAAATAATTTAAAAAGCAGAACAAATGCGTATGAGTGTTTTTTTTTTCTTTTTTTTTTTTTTAATCACATATAGATATGCATAAATGTAGCTACAAATGTCAAATTAAAAATGATATACAAATAGAGCAAAAATTGGCTGGGCACAAACTCAACTTGTGAGGACTAACTTCATTTTTGGGCATATGTTTGCACCGGCCTTCTTCTTAGCCTAGTGGTTCGAAGGCTGGTATTTGTGATGGTGATGATGATGAATCGATGAATGGATGAGAGGCTGATAATTTAAAATAATTTTTGACCGTACGATGTACGATGAATAAACTAACTAAATGATAATTTCTAACCGTACGATGTACAATGAATAGACTAACCAAATGAGGTATTCTAAAATACCTTTGTTTTTCTATATTTTCCACATGGAAAATGATATGAAAATAGTATCCCATATCTCTCTTCTTTTTTATTTTTATTTTTTAAATTTGATATTATTAAAAGGAGAGGAAGTTTCGAATACATAACGCATAAGTAGAAATAAATATATGCCATGTTACAAATGGTCAAATTAAAAAAATAAATTTTGATTAAAAAATAAGTAACTGGTTTTGCTCAAATACAACGTTTAAATACGATTTTTGCATGAATTTTGCACTGGTCTTCTTCCTGGCCTGGTGTACAAGTGCTGAAGCTTGCTTCCATTAGGTCTCAGGTTCGAAGGCTGGTATCAGTTGAGATGGCGAGTTTGATGATGGTCAAACAAGCATGTGTATATGTATATGTATGTGTGTTGTGGCATAAAGTCGTTGGATCAAATTTCAAGGGATTCAGATCCTTTTCCCATTTCCCAAATATATCTATACATAAAAACAAGATGAGGTATTTCAAAATACCTCTGTTTTTTTAAAGTAATGTTAGTGAGATATTTTTTTTTTCCTCAAACGATAGATTGTATTAGATTACATATTACAGAAATTAAACTTATAGATAAAATTTTGTAAATTAAATGACATAAAAGTTGATGATTGAATTGTTACTCAAATGTTGATTAACGTGCTTATTTCTTATTGCTAACACATCATTTAGTTTAGAAATTTAATCTATCTAGCATTACTCATTTTTTATATAGTTTTCTCCCCTCTGTTTTATTTTATTTCGTTCCATTTATTAGGTTAACACCAATTATACTATTTTGCATTCTATACTTTATTTCTTATGCAATTGTATAATTTATTTGGTCAAAATGTAGTTCAATTTAAGATTTTGTTAACATGCTATCAACTAAGTATAGCACATAAAAATGTGTGTGTGTTATTCGGCAATTTTGCTAAAATAATACCATAAAATTTTAAATTTTTTAAATTTTAATATTTATTTTTTAATAAACTTTAAAAAATTTCTTACAATACGTCAAATATAAGAAAAATTACACATAAAATATACTTTTAATATTTCATTTTATATTAAGACAACATTTTTTGAACATTTCAAGGAAGTACAAAACTTAAAACATATAAAAGATGACATCATTAGTTTTTTTCTCTAGAATTTAAATTACAAAAATACCCTTTTATTGTAGCAGCGGTCAAACTCCAGGGATGATTATATCCTACTACTTTTCCTTTTCACAATATGAGGCAATTAAGAGAAATTGTAAGCAAAAGAAAATTTTTCCCAAGGAACACACGTGAGGGTAATGAATCTCTTAGGTCTCCTCTGGTTGGAGTCGGCCGACTTTCTCTTGCTGCTACCCTTTTTCTTTCTACTCTCTAGCCCGTTACCCACACCCTCAAGTCCTCCTCATTCCCCTTCCGCCTCCTCTTGCCGCAACCCAACCCATTACCCACACCCTCAAGTCCTCCCCCTTCCTTTCCCTCCTCTGTTTTTCTCATGCGGTGTTTTATTTCGGTTTTCCTTTTGGCTATCTCTGAGCTTTGTCTCAATTCCCTGAGCTTGTCTTAAATCGGAACCTTTAGACACCTCTCTTGCTCTAATGCTTCCTTCCGTCGAGCGTCCACAACTACCAACCACTGCTACTCGGCCCCAGGTGCTTATTCTCAGTGACGCGCTTGGGTTTTGGTTGGCTGTTAAAGTGCTTTTTACACTATTTGGTAGGATTATGGGAGCGCTCACTGCGCTGGTGGCTCGCTCACCCCCATTTTCCGTTGATCTTGTTGCTCTGTTTGGTTCGTTTTTTGGTGATGGTGGCCTTTCAATGGAGGCGCGTCAGATTTGGTGGTGGCTGCTAGTTTCCTCTTTAATTTTAGGATTTTTGTTGTTTTTCAGTTATGCCTTTTGGGCCTTGAGTTGTATTTACTATTTCTTGATGAGCTTGTATTTAGGTTGTGGGATACCTTTTGGGCTCTCTTTTTCTTGTATTAGTCTTTTTGTTTAATGAAAAAGTAACTTAGTTTGTCCAAAAAAGAATACCTCAATTTGTTGCATGCCTGGAATTCATTTCACAAATTTCCTAGTGATGGAAAAGACCAAATTTCTCTTTCCATCAATCCATGGGCTCTAGTCTCATTCATCCTTCATATTAGTACAATCGTTGCTTAAGTTAATTCCTCTATCTATTTGTGCATATATTCTTATTTGGAGCCTATATTCGAAGGATTTATGCCTCATTTGACATATTGAACTAATGATGTAAATGAAATGAAAAAGAAAACGTTTGTATTTTGTCTTCTTTATCTTTTTTTTTATGAACTTAGTCAATTTATGGATAAAATATGATAAAAGCCAATATTAGTAGGACACTAAATCCATTGTTACGTTTTCAACCAAACCGAAGATTGTTGAATCATTGGTGAAGATTATTCACTTTTACTTTTTGGTCGTAAATTTAGCTAACTTTATTATGTTAATCATTCCTCATGATCAGTAGGTGTGTATATAAATTCATTTTTATATTTCACAAGTTTCCCATGTTTGTTTTAACAAGCGCACAATATGAGTGTTTAAAAATATAATTACAAAAACGTATCTCACTCCATGTAAGTTAATACACAAACCAAAAGCTTATAAGTTCTATTAACATAGGAGTTATCTCACTACACATTGATCACATATTAATCCTCATCTTCATGCAGCCTCGGTACACTATGAGACAACAACGTTTTTTTTACCTTTGGGTCAACAATATACCAAACAAAGTCAGTGGCTCTAAAACTATATTTGTGAGAGTTCAAACTCGAGCAAACTTATTCCTAGCCTCGTGGTTAAATGCACCAACATCAACAACCAAGGTACTTGGTTCAATGCAAATTAATCTTTAAACACGACCTATAAAAACCCTAGTTCAATATTTTTCATACCATTGACCCAAATCCAAATGGTTGCAGTTATTTGAATTTAGTTTGCGGGCATTTGTACCGGCCTTCTTCCTTGCCTGGTGGAAAATTGTGTTGGTGGAAGCATTATTCCTTTACGTTCCACGTTCGAAGTCTGGTATCCGTTGAGATGGCAACTTTGATGAATCATGATTGCATGTGTGTATGTACGTATGTGCGTGCGTACGTATATATATGTATATATTTCAACAGCCTGAGGTATTTCAAAATACCTCTTTTTTTTTTTTATAACATATTTGTTTTTTCGCCCTCTATTTTATTTTATTTTATTTACTAGGTTAACACCAATCTAACCAAATCACATTTTAATAAAACAACAGAGAAAAGCTTGGTTATATGCATTCTATTGTTACATGTATTTTATTTACTAGGCTATCATTTTTTAAATGCTATCAGTACCTTCGTTACCTCGGTTTGGGAACGGAAGTACAAGAGAATTAGTGTTGAATTTCTATTAATTAGCAGTTCTTTCATCTAAACACAATGCTAATTATTTCTTTTCAATTATTTGAGGTTCAGTCATAGTAATAGACTAGTAATATGTTTGCACGATATTGCGGGATTTGAATGCACCAGCCTTAACTACATGAATAAGACATATTTAACCTGAAAAACATTTAACATAATCATGAACGAACAAAAAGGATAGATCTAGGAAATTATAAAAATTCATCCAGTCAAGAGTATATATATCAACAGCCTGAGGTATTTCAAAATACCTCTTTTTTTTTTTTATAACATATTTGTTTTTTCGCCCTCTATTTTATTTTATTTTATTTACTAGGTTAACACCAATCTAACCAAATCACATTTTAATAAAACAACAGAGAAAAGCTTGGTTATATGCATTCTATTGTTACATGTATTTTATTTACTAGGCTATCATTTTTTAAATGCTATCAGTACCTTCGTTACCTCGGTTTGGGAACGGAAGTACAAGAGAATTAGTGTTGAATTTCTATTAATTAGCAGTTCTTTCATCTAAACACAATGCTAATTATTTCTTTTCAATTATTTGAGGTTCAGTCATAGTAATAGACTAGTAATATGTTTGCACGATATTGCGGGATTTGAATGCACCAGCCTTAACTACATGAATAAGACATATTTAACCTGAAAAACATTTAACATAATCATGAACGAACAAAAAGGATAGATCTAGGAAATTATAAAAATTCATCCAGTCAAGAGACAACAGAATAGTTGTGGGAAGGTGAGTATGCAACCAAGAATCTAAGTTATACTTGATTTGCAATTCCATTATAATTTCACACACAAAAAAGATCAAATTTTGATTGAAACATCAAAGAAAACAATCTCATCCGTTACAGATTGGACCAACTAAATAAAGAATCTATCAATATAATTTTCAACCTAACCATAAAAAATAGCTTTATAACAGCGCAATCAACATTATTTGAACTCAACTAAAAAGAAACTAATTGCATGTTATAAATTCCATAGGTAATTTGATTTTGCAGATTAAAAAGAGTCTAAGAATATTGAAAATTACTAAACCCCATCACAACAAACCCATACCCATACCTCCCTTATCCGTTCCCTTCAAGCCTTGCAGAAAATCCTCCCATCTCTCTGTCTGTTCAAATCACAGAAAACAAACCCTAAACCAAATCCCTGAAATCCCTCGCTTAAATCCTCCCACATCTCTCTTGGACACCCTTATCTCTGACTCTGCAAACCCTAAACCAAATCTCCAAATCCTATCTTGGACCCTCCTCATCTCTATGCCAATCGCACAAACAAAAACCCAAACATAATCATTCAAATCCCACCAAAACCTAATCCTTGAAATCCCACCCAAACCTAATCCCTAAAACCCCTTGTCTCAGACACCCAACAACTCTCTCCCTCAGATAGCCCTAAATGAAGTGCCTCGTAGCATTGAATCGGCTTGCAACACCCCCAGGCGAGATTGAGACTACTTTTCATATTTTCATTTTAATGTACTAGCAAGGAAACGATAGTATATTCCAAAATTAGCAGTTTATAAAGAAATATAAATATTGTTTTCAAGGAATTAATATGATTGCAAATGTAATAGCTCCATACATAGTTAGGTAGGATAAATGATGGAAGACGCACTGAAATTTGAGGTCCATATGTTGAGAAGAGTCCATAGCATTGATCAATTTATGGATATCTTGCATAGATCTACAATTCAAGCTCCCAACAAAGTATCAATTTATCAGCAATTGTGACATTCATTATTCCTAAAAAAGTTATTGATTCACAAATAAACAAATGAAAGTAATCGGAAGAAACGCTTCCCACATGTTGACTGAATCCGAACTCAAAATGACCACAATATTTTCCCAGCAATGATCACAGAGAGATTGTTGCCTGGGTATTCTGTCCATCCCCTGAAAACAATGTCACAAACTTATTTATAGGATAAATGTGTGTGTACCCAAGAACTACACTGAAACAACCACAAAGATTCAAACTTCCATAGTAAATACGATCAGCAAAATAAAGAAGTAATCGATTGGAAATCACATATAAACCCAAATGAATCTGAACCCACCAAGCACAACTTAAAAACACGTTAAATAGACAATCAATCAAACAGAACCAAATGGGGGTTCAGATAAATTTTTGGTTATTGTTTCTCTCTTTCATGCAAGCTTACATCAGTAAAGGAAGCCAAAGATTTTAACCTTTTACCTTGGGTCTGAGATCCTCAAACATTTGCACAACTAATGGTGCACTAAAGTGAATTCAACATAGAAACTTCTATAATTTCACATGTTTCCTAAAATTACCCAGCTACGTGTTCATAAAAGGGAAAACTTTTTCTGAAGTCCAAGAGCAATATCAAAGTGCTATTTGCCCCAATTCAAGAAGCAGAAATCGCACTAATACTAAATATCCATACAAAAATATCTTCATTTAAGCAATATACCCCTAAATTTAGCATCCACTGTTTTCATACATTCATAGATTCATTGCTAACAACAAAATAAGGTCAAAAATGGACCAACAGGACCTCTTGCATTCAAATTTTTGAACCCAAAAGTCAAATAAATTCAACAAAAGTTTGATATTTTGGATTTCCAATTTCATATCCTTTCAAAAACTAAATTTTTAACATTCCCAAAAATTGAAAATCCAATCTTTGGGAGAAATCCATGAGAGCATGCAGTTGTATCAGTCAAAATATATTCCTTACCTCAACTAATTGGATTAACCAGCGGAGCTAATTATTATGTAATTACACATCTAGAGCTATCAGCTATCAACTAATTGGATTAAACAGAATGTGTGAATCTGAAATAGAAAAAGAAAATTAGAGAGAGAGAGAGAGAGAGAGAGAGAGAGGGTGCCTGCGGAGGATTTCGAGGAGGGGATCGACCTCTTTCTTGTTGAACCAAATCGACACCCATTACTACTCTCCGCCATCACAACCCCTTTACAAATTTCAACGACTAATTCTTATATTTTGTATTTCAATGAATGGATTTAGGGTTTGAAATAGAAAGCATTCAGGGTTTTTCTCAGGAAAAGAAAGCCTCCACTCAGCAAATATAGCTAGGAATAAAAAGAACACTTATCTAGCTACTGGCTTTTGTCCTTTCTCACTTCTTGAGTCCCCAAGTCCAGCATTCAACATGGTAAAAAGCAAAACAAAAAACAATAAAGGAAATTAGGTCGATTGGTCAGCGCAAACTAAAGGTCCAAGAGAGAGCTAGCAATCATTCTTCAGCTAACCCAGCAGCAATGACTTCGATTGACACAAAGGTCCAGGTCTTATCAACGTTAACAAAAAATCCCACTTGCTAAAATCAATCCAATACAAGTTTCACAATTACAAAATGTCTTAAAAACGGAAAAAGGGCAAAAAAGCAAAGAAGAAGCATTCAAGAGATTAAGACATTTAAATAATTAGACGAAGTAGACGGAGATTAGTAAAAAGTTGGGGAGGGAAGTAATAATCTCTGCAGTGGGTGCTCGGTAATAAAAATGACAACCGAAAATAAAAATTATGCCAATTAGTTGTGTTTTTTTTTTTTTATCTTAGATGTTTTGTAGAATGAAAATGCATCAAACCAAGATATACCTTTGTTATAAACTCATGAGAAAGGGAGCAAGCAAGCAGAGGCCACCGGAAACAAAAAGGTCAGTTTTGATTTGAGCATTTCTGAAAAAAGGAGTCAGAGAACCTTAAAATCCCCAAAAACCCTAATTTATAAACTCCTGATCAAACCCAAAAAGGATAGAGGAAACCCAAATAAAGGGAAGTTCAAGAAATTCAACATACGGTAAGATGCTTTCTGACGGCCAATATAATTAAAAGCCTGCATACAGTTTGGTTAATTAACAAATAATGCAGGCAATTTTCATTTTCAACCAACCGTACAGACACATATTATGTTTTTGCAAATGTGTATTTCACTTTCAAGTGAGAATGACTTAACAATTAGATTGTCATAAATCAAACACATCAAACAATTAATTATTTAATATTGAACAATTCCTTTAAACCATGAACATTTAGTGTGGAGAAATTAGAAGTTGAAATAAGCGGAAAACGACATAGGTAAGAGGAGAAAATTCAAAAAATATTGTGATCAAAATAAGAACTCAGTTGGAAGTTCAACAGAAAGATCAGTGGAAAATGCACTCACTTACCAACTTGAAAGAAAACGTAGTGTTTAATGATTGCTCGAGGAATAGAAAAATGTAAACTATATATATAACGTTACATGGAAAATGAAGATTTACCTATAAACCGGTAACAGCAAAGTAAACAGAATACAACAGGAGTTACTGCAAGAGTGACAGAGAGGGAGAGAGATGAAAGATGAGTGAATAGTTAAAGCTAGAATTTTTCTTAGCATGTTCTACAAACTGAATTATTTAGCTACCACATTGACATGCTTGAAATGAACACTAAGCAGAAACGTGCTATTAAAAATAAGAGATGCAATATCACCAAAATTCATGATCATTATCCAAAACTCCAAAGTAAATATAAAATCAAATTAACACCTCTTTATTTCTAATCTCTCTTCCTAATATTTTGTATTGTGATAAGGTTTATACTAAATAATGGTTAAACCAAAATTTAATAATAAAAGTCACAGTAGAAGTTTAACATGAGAGAGTCATTCCATGCTACAGAAGAAGGAGCACCAATTTTGTACTTTTTTTATTGTCAACACAAAGTATGTAGACAAATTTTTAAGGTACATGTTTTCACAGAAATTCCTTCTTCAAGCATCCTACAAAAGCCCTACTGCATTAGCGCAATAATTTGAGGCAAATAAATATCATAGTTAATCCAAAAAGAAGAAGTAATTACAAAGATTCTTAACAAATTAGCCATCAAGAGAAGGTCATGCATTAAACAAAAGACCGAAACTCGAAAGTATACACGATATAGCAAATGAAGATCAAAATTACTTTTATGACTCCTTAAGAGAAATTACCTATGAGCTCACAATAACCAAACAACCTCACTAAATTCCTATAGCAAACACAGCCAATCGCTTCCACTTCGACCTTAAACTCCTGCTCATGCCAAATTCCCTGCTACAAAGCTCATGCAGCAATTAGAACAAAAATAGAATATTATCCCAAAATCCATGAAAAATCTAACAAATTTAACTAACTCCCCAAGCTAAAGGTCTCAAATTTCCTAACTGGGTTCTTATAAAATTTAGATCATCACACCTGAATGCAAACAGAACAATTAAATAAAAAATCTAAGGCATACGCAATCTAATTAGATAAATTTGTAGATGTTTAGTAATGACCCTCCTGAAGCTCTTTATCAATATCTATGTATGGGAAGTTAAGAAAGACATGAAACAATTGGAGTCAAGACAAAATTAATTTTAATTTAAGAATTAGAACAATGAACCTTGAATTAGTACACTTGGTGATATGGATTATGTGTTCGTCCCCATTCTTACTTTTGGCTTGGCATCTATTGCCTCTGTTCAACATATAACATTATATGTATCTGTTCAACATATAACATTATATTTATCAATATAACATGTATATAAAAAGATGGGTAACATATTGCATTGTGTGTATATAATGTAATCTTTTCTTATACCAAAAAATAGTTGGCAAAGGACACATTCAACCTGCAGATATAAGTTCTATTCAAGTTTATACCAAATTCATATAACATTTCCAAGTAAATTCATACTTAATTCATTTAAAAATAAACAAAAATTTAAGCAAATAGGGCTAAAACACTGCAATTGCTCAAAGTTGAAAAAGTGGGAAAAGGCAGTCAGCTCAGCTTGACATACAAATTTTTATTAACTAATCACCGTAACAAGTTCAGGTTAAGTTAAACAATCTTACTAATCCACACAGAGCCTTAACCCTTATCAACCAAAACTATTTCGACATGATTCCATTCCATCGTCCCACAACGTCAAGCTTTTAGCTTACTATGATGAAATTTACAAAACGATAATGACCTTGATTTCCTAAATTAAAATGCATCTTCAATTCACTCAAAATTATAAAATAGCTCACTCTCTAGAGTATAAAATTACAGAAACTAATTCAAAAATAAAGAAAATCTCTTGCTTAATGATAAGGAATGAACCAATACTACAATTCCCAACCCTCACTGCATTACTCTTCCTATCATTTTGTTAGAACTTTTTTGTAAGAAAAATTACATAGTACTTATCTAACAATTATTTTCTATTTCTACATAAACACAAACAAATTAATCACCCAATTACATTTCATTCAATTTGGGATTTCAAATTAAATAACTCTATTTACAGAAAAATCGAACTTTCAAACCAATAATCAATTTTGGAGTTATCAAATTTAATCGGCACAGAAAATTATAATCAAACCCAAACTATGATTTCAATAAAATCAAACAACAAAAAAACCAAATTCAAGTCAAATATAATAAAAAAAAACCAAACAAAACTCTATATCAAAACTCTGGAATTTTGAAACTGCTCACCTTAAATACAGAGTGCTTCATAGAATGCAAAGAAAAGTCCCAAATCTGAAAAACCATGACCTCCTAAAGCTGAATCCGAACCCACAAACAAAATCCCCAAAATCACAACCAGAAAATTTAAACAAAAAACCCATTTATAAATCCAAATTTACACTCCCAAGCACATAACATTCAAAGTAGAAAATTACCCACACCAAATCGGCATCAAGAAACGTGATCCTTTATCGGCTCCAAATTTTCTGCTATAACCGCAGCAATTCCCCCATTCAAATCTGACCCTAAATCACTAAAAAAAATTCAACACAAAAAGGAAAGGTCAGTACTTATGATTCGAGTTCACACTGCTTAGGGTCACTGACGCTGTTAAGGTTATTCATTATTGCTCGATCACTCTTGTTAATTTTATTTTTTTTTCGTTTCGTTTTGTTTCGGCTTTTCTTTAACAGCGTAGGCACACAAAACCAATCAAATTCATTCACCACACTCTCTCTCTCTCTCTCTCTCTCTAAGCTTTTGAATTCTCTAGTTTTGGATTCTCTAGCCTTTCTTCTCTGCCTTATCTAGTTTGTCTTTGTGTACATGCATAGATTATCTATCTAGCTAGTTAGCACTCTCTGGTAAATTGGGAATATATAACTTTTTGACCCAAATGACTGAATATCTCTGTGTGTCTCTCTCTTTCTCAGGAACAGAGAAGTTATCAAGTAAAAAGTTGAAATTGTTAACCTTGAGCACAGAGGGCTTCCTAAAACCAATTGTTAAGATTTGTGTTTGATCTACATACATGTCAAGAAAAAAATTAAAAAGTTTGTCACAGAAATACATAAGCAACCAAGAATTGCAAAAATAATCTATCAACAGAGGAGCAAAACAACAACTAAAACAGCCTTCTAACACCCTTATCACACAAATACAGAAGCAACAAAGTCTGGGGAAACAATCTAGCAACAGAGGGATATTCAAAGGATGTGAAGCAGAAAAGGAACCTCAATTTGATTTGTTGAGAAGGAAACAGCAGCAAAGCATGAAGAAAGAAATGAGCACGGTGCAACCTCCTAAGTTATAAAGATACAAACCTGACTCTAACCGTGTACGAAACAGTGCACTCAACAGACTAATCTTCCTAACACCCAACTAAATAGCCTATACATCCATTACAATTTTATTGAAACAACAAAATATCAATCACAGTTTTAACAAAGCAAATGACAAACCAAACAATAAATAATGATTTCCAAACAATGTTTTACCTATTGAATCAGAGATCAAAACTGAAAACCCACTCTCTCCCATACCTCCCTCAGCCATCCTCTCCTCACCAACCTCGTGGGCCTGGCAATTCATGACACGACCCGATAACCCAACCTGACACGACACAACACGAAATTAATAGGTGTTCAAGTCGACACGATAACGAATCGAGTCGTTATCGGGTAACCCAATAAACACCTGTCAAGATAACGGGTTGATTGGGGTATACACGTGGGTAATACGATACACGACAAGCAGAATATTATTTTTATAATTTTATAACCCTAAAAAAATATTGTAATAATTATATATATATATATTAATTTAACAATTTTATACCCCTAAAAACTATAATAAATATATATATATATATATATTAAATTAACTATAATAATTATACCCCCAAAATATTAACTATCTATAATAATTATATATATATTAAATTTTGAATTAAATTTTATAAAAAAATATAATAATTATTAATTAATATGCATCCATTGATTTGATTCCATAATTGATAATTCTATTCCATTCCTTGAAATGCCGCCCTTTTTGAAAAAAAAAGGGAGGGAAAATGAAAATGATAAGAAAAGTTGAAAAGGAAACAAAAAAAAGAGGGAATTAGGGAAAGATGGGTAGGCACCGTAGGTTGCCGGAGGGAAAAATGAAAATTATAAGAAAAGTTGAAAAGGAAACAAAAAAAAGAGGGAAAAATAAAAATTAAAAGAAGTGTTGAGAAAATTTTTTTTTTTAAAGTTATTAATTTTTTATCACACATATGACATATCTCACTATTTTTATAATGACTCAAGTGATGTACTACTCCGTGTACCAATCAATTATACGTACAAAATAAATGGATTTAAATCTACTTAATAAATATATATATATACACACACACACCATTGAACTTGATGGGATACGAATTCTCCGAAACTAATTTCAACGATCCCAACGTCAAACTTGTTTGTATATGCTTAAAGATCACATCAGCAAAAAATCGCAAAAAACAAACATTCAGAGATCAAGTAACGGGACAAAGCTTTTCGATGGTTATAAAACGAAAAATCACGATTTAACGGTTATTTTAACTTCGATTTTGATGATTTTTTACAGCTACACTCATTGACCCTATATGAATACAATGAAATTTGATCCTCAATTTAAAATATTTACACAAGTAGATACCACAAAATCTTATGTTATACTTGATGAGAGCATAAATAAACTCTAAATGTTAGTCAATCTATTGTTTTTATGGGATACAAATTCTCCGAAACTAATTTTAATGATCCCAACCGTCAAACTTGTTTGTATATGCTTTGAGATCACATCAGCAAAAAATCACAAAAAAAAAAACATTCAGAGATCAAGTAACGGGACAAAGCTTTTCGACGATTATAAATGAAAAATCACGATTTAACGGTTATTTTAACTCCGATTTTGATGATTTTTTACAGCTACTGTGACATCCCACATCGCCCAGGGGAGTGATCCTTAAATGTATATTCACATCTCTACCTAGCACGAGGCATTTTGGGAGCTCACTGGCTTCGGGTTCCGTAGGAACTCCGAAGTTAAGCGAGTAGCGCGCGAGAGCATTCCCAGGATGGGTGACCCATCGGGAAGTTCTCGTGTGAGTTCCCAGAAACCAAACCGTGAGGGCGTGGTCGGGGCCCAAAGCGGACAATATCGTGCTACGGTGGTGAAGCGGGCCCGGGAAGTGGTCCCCCCTGGGCCGAGATGTGACAATTGGCATCAGAGCCTAACCCTGGTCGCGTGTGTGCCGACGAGGACGTCGGGCCCCTAAGGGGGGTGGATTGTGACATCCCACATCGCCCAGGGGAGTGATCCTTAAATGTATATTCACATATCTACCTAGCACGAGGCCTTTTGGGAGCTCACTGGCTTCGGGTTCCGTAGGAACTCCGAAGTTAAGCGAGTAGCGCGCAAGAGCATTCCCAGGATGGGTGACCCATCGGGAAGTTCTCGTGTGAGTTCCCAGAAACAAAACCGTGAGGGCGTGGTCGGGGCCCAAAGCGGACAATATCGTGCTACGGTGGTGGAGCGGGCCCGGGAAGTGGTCCCCCCTGGGCCGAGATGTGACAATTGGCATCAGAGCCTAACCCTGGTCGCGTGTGTGCCGACGAGGACGTCGGGCCCCTAAGGGGGTGGATTGTGACATCCCACATCGCCCAGGGGAGTCATCCTTAAATGTATATTCACATCTCTACCTAGCACGAGGTCTTTTGGGAGCTCACTGGCTTCGGATTCCGTAGAAACTCCGAAGTTAAGCGAGTAGCGCGCGAGAGCATTCCCAGGATGGGTGACCCATCGGGAAGTTCTCGTGTGAGTTCCCAGAAACAAAACCGTGAGGGCATGGTCGGGGCCCAAAGCGGACAATATCATGCTACAGTGGTGGAGCGGGTCCGGGAAGTGGTGCCATCCAGGCCGGGATGTGACAGCTACACTCCTTGACCCTATATGAATACAATGAACGAATTCGATCTTCAATTTAAAATATTTACACAAGTGAATACCACAAAATCTTATATTATACTTAATGAAAGTATAAATAAACTCTAAATATTAGTCAATCTATTGTTTTGATGGGATACAAATTATCCGAAACTAATTTCAACGATCCCAACCGTCAAACTTGTTTGTATATGCTTCGAGATCACATCAACAAAAAATCACAAAAAATAAACATTCAGAGATCAAGTAACAGGACAAAGCATTTCGACGGTTATAAACGAAAAATCACGATTTAACGATTATTTTAACTCCGATTTTGATGATTTTTTACAACTACACTCCTTGATCCTATATCAATACAATGAACGAATTTGATCTTCAATTTAAAATATTTACACAAGTGGATACCATAAAATCTTATATTATACTTAATGAAAGTATAAATAAACTCTAAATGTTAGTTAATCTATCATTTTGATGGGATACAAATTCTCCGAAACTAATTTCAATGATCCTAACCGTTAAACTTGTTTGCATATGCTTCGAGATCACATCAGCAAAAAATCGCAAAAAACAAACATTTAGAGATCAAGTAATGGGACAAAACTTTTCCACGGTTATAAACGAAAAATCACGATTTAACGGTTATTTTAACTCAGATTTTGATGATTTTTTACAGCTACACTCCTTGACCCTATATGAATATCATGAATGAAATCGATCTTCAATTTAAAATATTTACACTAGTGGATACCACAAAATCTTATATTATACTTAATGAAAGTATAAATAAACTCTAAGTGTTAGTGAATCTATTGTTTTGATAGGATACGCATTCTATGAAACTAGTTTCAACGATCCAACCATCAAACATGTTTGTATATGCTTCGAGATCGCATACGTCAATAAGTTCAAAAAACAAACATTCAGAGGCCAAGTAACGGGACAAAACTTTTTTACGGTTATCAACGAAAAATCACGATTTAACGGTTATTTTAACTCTAATTTTGATGATTTTTTACAACTACTCTTTGACCCTATATGAATACAATGAATGAATTCGATCTTCAATTTAAAATATTTACACAAGTGGATACCACAAAATCTTATGTTATATTTAATGAAAGTATAAATAAACTCCAAGTGTTAGTGAATCAATTGTTTTGATAAGATACGCATTTTACGAAACTAGTTTCAACGATCCAACCGTCAAACATGTTTTTATATGCTTTGAGATCGCATAAGCCAAAAATTTAAAAAAACAAACATTCAAAGATCAAGTAACGGGACAAAAATTTTCGACGGTTATCAACGAAAAATCACGATTTAACAGTTATTTTAACTCCGATTTTGATGAATTTTTACAGCTACACTCCTTGACCCTATATGAATATCATGAATGAACTCGATCTTCAATTTAAAATATTTACACTAATGGATACCACAAAATCTTATGTTATACTTAATGAGAGTATGAATAAACTTTTAAGTGTTAGTGAATTTATCATTTTGATGGGATACGCATTCTATGAAACTAATTTCAACGATC